CTGCGCAGGAGCCAGGCAATGGGCTACGCATGGAAATCAACAGGCCTCATTCTCATAACAATCCTCTGGGGAAGGTGCTAGAAGTAGCTGAATTTACAGTTGGGGAAACTGAGGCACGGAGAGGTCATATCCAAGATCACATGATGTGGAGATCCATGATTTTCCTCCTGACATGCACAGCACAGCTGAGAGCAAGGAGGACCATTTATCCTGGAATTCACTGCAGAGAAGAGGCTGAGAAAAGGCAAAGAGACTTGGAAGAGAACAGAGACTGGACAAGCTGGCTCACAAAGTGGCGTTCACTATTCTGCCTCTGCCTCTCCTCCTGGCCCTGAGCCGGTTGGGAAATGGCAGAGGGGGCTTTCCCCCTCCTACCTCGGAGCCCAGATCCAGAGAGCAAGGCCCAGCGGATGTATGCAGTGCCCTCTCCCATCTTCTAAACTCTGCCTCCCTGGATGGTCCACCCTGAGTGTGACCATGCCCTCTGGAGAGACCCTCCTCTTTGTTCTGAAAATGTCAACCAGGTGTAAATACAACCTGCAAGGCTTTCCTGACAGAGGTGCACAATCAGAAGGGCCATTTCATTCCTTAGCAAGAAGTGGCTTTGGCCTTGACAGCCAGTGATTAAATTATTACCCCGGTTTGCGGCAGATGGAGGCACCCAGGCGCGAGTTGTGATTTAGAGGCCCAGCAGAGACCCCTGCCCTCACACATCTCCTTAGCCAGTCTGCCGTGATGGCCAAGTTTCCACCACCATCCGTCACTCTTCCGCACCAAGGCACGGTCAGCATGTCCTTGTTCGATGCAAATTTGTTACCTAGCTGGAGTAACACATTAATCCGCCAGCACCGATTTATCACCCGTGTTCACATTGGCAGGGAGAGAGGCGCTGAGATAATGAAACATGGGACAGGTGAATTCTGATGAAGGAGCAGGAACGGCAGGAGGCATGAGTCACTGCTAGAGAGAAATGGGGGCGGGGGTGGTGGCTGGGAGAAGGGCAGGGCTGGGGGCCCGACTGGTTGGATGGAACCTGGGTGGGATAAGGATCACAAGGGCTTTCTCCTCCATAAGCCAGGCTGCAGAATCCCTGAGCTGGGAGACCATCGGAGACTCCCATGTCACCTTTGTACACAGCACAGGAATCGGTGTGTGTGTGTGTGTGTGGGGGGGTGTCATCTGTGCCCCTAGCAGAGGTCTGGTCTTGGCCAGAAATTTCAGATCTGTGCTGGCTCCGTGGGCCCCCAGGAACCTCCCACCTGCAGCAGGAAACACATCTCCAAAGTCCAGGAGGAGACGGGGAGGGCAGGATGAGGCTGAGAGATTCAGGCCTAGTGGATCTGGAGTTGCCAAGAGCCTTAGCTTCTGCTCATTCTCGTTGTTTTAGTGGTGACTCCTCAGACTTGCAGGCTTCATCACCTATTGGTTAGTGAAGGCTAGGAGGACAGAGCTCAGGCCAACTCGTGGTGACCCACTAGGGCTGCAGGCCTGAGGGCTCTCAGCTGAGCTTCTTACCAGGCCAGGAAGCAAAGGGGAGCCGCGGGAGTATTGACAGGGAGCAGATGGGTGAGTGTTGTCACAGCAAATCAGTGGGTGTAGCGCAGGTGCAGAAGCTCCTGGGGGCGGCAAAGACAGTGACCCAGGGGGGCCCTGCTGCCTGGAGGAAGGGAAGGGGTCATCTCTCCTCCCCCACCTCCTCCGCGCTTTGCAGGAGTTGAAGTAGCCCTCGGCTCCTGGGACTGGTGGCGCCCTGAGAAGTGGCCTGGCCAGGAGAGAGGCGCAGGGCCCCTCCCGTGGGTACCGCGGAGTGCTCGCCTCCCGCCGCGCCGCGTCCCCTCCCCTACAGCCCAGGGAGAGCGCGCAGCTGGGCCGCGACCGCGAGGTGGCGCCTGCGCGCCGAGGAAGCGTGGAGGCCGCTCCTGGGCCGCCGCGGCCGCCTCCTCCAAGGGAACAATGCGGCGCCTCCCGGCGTAGCGCTGCGCCGGGCCGGACGCCGGACACCCGAGCGCGGGCAGTCGACCGAACGAGCCGGCAAGCGGGCGGGCGCGGGGCGCCCTCCCCGAGAGCCATGGGCGCGGCGCCGCGAGGGGCCGGAGCTCGGCGCGACCCAGAGGCGCGGGGGAGCGGGACGCGGGCCCGGGGCCGCTGCTAGCCGGCACCGAGGGCGCGGAGCCGGGGATGAGGGCGCTCGCCGCGGGGATCCCGTCTGCGCGCCGCGGCGCCGTCCCGCCCAGCGAGCGAGCCTGAGCAGGCAGACGCGCGGCCGGCGGTCTGGGGGCGCGCCGCCTCCCGGTCCCCAAAATGTGAAGCGGGGAGGAGGAGACGCAGAGACCGCCGGGCCGGGCGCCCTTGCCGCCCTCCGGCTGCCGCGCTGCTCCTTCTCTGCGCGCAGAGGCCGCGCCACCCCACGGGCGGTGGCCGGAGCAGTGAGGCCACCGTGCCCCGCGCCCCCTCCACGCTCGGAAAGGGCTTCGGCCCTCAGCGAGTTGGTGGCCCCGACGCGGGAAGAGCCGCGCCTAGGACTGTGCGTCTGGCCTCTCCCGCGGCTTCTCGCCCTGACAAGTTTGAACAATGATCACAGTCAACCCAGATGGGAAGATAATGGTCAGAAGATGCCTGGTCACTCTGAGACCCTTCCGGTAAAGTTCTCCCCTGGTTGGCGTGGCGGGGGGTCTTTTCCCCGAGGGGGCGCATGGTGGCGGTAGGCGAGGTCGGTCCCTGCGAGGATGCAAGTTCCAGTGGCAAAGGAGGTTCGCGTTTGGACCCTCGGTGATGGCCACTGGGGCTGCGGGAACAGATGGAGTTGGGGCTCGGGGTGCGAGTAGGGAGGGTAATGTAATTCTGCACCTGTCCCAAGTTGGACTAGGTTGGGAGGGATTTGAGGTGTGGAGGTGAGAATGGGGTCAGAAAGCATCGAGGTTGTGGCCCAGGGCCCGGGCAGTGGCCCCAGCCAGCACGCCCCTTCCCTGCCCCTTGGGGCCTTTCCCCACCTGCGGCGAGTCCCATCTGGTAGCGAAGTTAGTGCGCGGTGGCAGGGCGACTCCCTCTCCGGTCCAGCCGTGGTCCCTAGGTCGGCCCGCCCACCCCTTCTGCCTAATCCATCCCCTCCTCCCGCCTTCACGGCCCACCCCCTCTGACAGGGCTCGGGCCAGTCTCTGACCCGAGGGTTCCAGAGATTGGACCACGGACACTCCTCCGCTGGGCATTCACCCTCAACTACGGGTCAACAGGCGGGGCAGGTGCAGCCCGATTGTGGAGGGCGGACAGAGGCGAAGACGACACTCTGGCCACACACACCTTGGGTGGCCTGGTCCAGGGGGCTGAGGCTGTGCGGGACTCACCCGGCTCTGCTACTCCCACTCCTGGGCCCCCCGGAGCCCGCCAGGGCCAGGGTAGCTCTCTCCCTCCCAGGGCCGTCGGAGTGGAGCCGCTGCGCGGGCTGGGGAAGAGGTGCTGGGCGCTAGGCGCCCAGCAGGGCTGGAGTGTCCTTCTGTTCCATAGCTGGGCTGCAGAAGACGCGGAGGGAGTTCGGGTGCCAGCGCGGGGCGGGACAGGCCACAGGTGGGGTGCGGGCGCAGGACAGAGACCTTGAGAGCAGGCGCTGGCGGTCAGAGGCGCCCAGGGTTTGGGCTGCAGGGAGGGAAGAGGCTTGATCCCCTCCACTCCAGGCCTCCGACGGAGCCCTGGCTCCTCCCCCACCCCAGTCGTTGCCCATCTCCCTCCCTGGCCCGGAAGGGGCTGGGGGTGGGGAGAAGATGGCCCTCCTGGGTTCCCGCCTCCCGGGTGTCAGGCCGGTTTTGAGGGCTGAGAAGGAAGCCTGGGGGCAGCAACCATCAGGCTGGTCAGGGAGGATGCCGGGGACTTTGGAGTCTGGTCTGAGAGTGGGGTTTTAAGCGGTTATTTGGGGGGAGTCAGGGACCCCTAGCCTAAGGTGCTCATGGTAAGCAGGGCAGGAAGCCGTTCTCTCTAGAAAGGCCTTGGTCCTCCAGAAAACCCTCAAGTCCTTGGCTTGCCCGGGACTCTGAGAGGATTCTCAGGTTCCCTCCTGCTCTCTCACCCCCTGTGGTCCCCTCCCTGCAGGCCATGGGAAGTCCAGTTTCTGCTGGACATTTCCTGGGGCGCTTGGAGGCTGCCCGGGTTCCAGCACCACGGACAGTGCTTGCCCCTGGCCCACTTCAGGGTGCATCCTGCACCACAGCCTTTGGGGCTCTTATCTGAAAGCAGGGGTGGGGTGCGGTTGCATGGGTCTCTCTAGGCTGCCAGAGACCCACAGCCACCAACGGAGTCTTCAAGTCCCCTCGGGATCAGGGCAGGGCTCTGATTACATCACTCCAATTTATTCTTCCCCGAGGACGGCCTGGGAATGCTGTTCCCATGGGTTCTGCCGGGGCTCTCTTCCCCAGGTGCTCTGCAGTGTTGTCTGAGTGCATATGTGGATGGATGAAGCCACTTTAACTTGAATTTACTATAAATAGACCCCAGTGCTTTGGGGGACCTGAACCCAAGGCTTGGGGACTGGCAGAGTGTGGTGCAGGTGAAGTCTGTGGGGCTTCAGGGTCTGGTCAAAGGTGTAGACATGTTCCTCATGGATGTTTTTGGACCCTGGCAGGCACCCCCAGGTCTCCAGCCCTAAATACAACTCCGTGGCTAGGGAGAGGGTGGAGGATGGGGGGGGGACCAGGGCTGAGGGAAGCTCTTCCTTGTCCTCAGGCTGGGAGGGCAAAGGGCTGATTTCCCCAGGGATCTCCCTGGGTCTATGACAACCTCTTCCTGTGCTCTTGCCCTGAGACCCATCTGATTTCATCTGGGGCACAGCAGAGTCTGAGCCCCACCCTCAGGCCTAGGGGAACTCACTGAGGTTTCCCTCTGAGATGAAGGGAAGTGTCCCTTGTGCTGTCTTGCCCACTGAACTGCTTCCTCCCTCCTCCCATCAGAGATGCTCTGCCAGAGAGTTCTCCTGGGGAAAGATCCCGGGTCCTCTCTGTGCGGTTCCTGCCCCCTCTCTCTGACTTAATCTCTAACAGCTTTCTTTAAATGTGGGCTGGGAATGTTGTTATGCATTTTATTTTCTTCTGCAATTATGTGTTTTCTTTAATGGACCAAATTTTAATTAAATACTGCTCTGCCAGTTTCAAATAATGAAGATTAAAATGCATAAAGCAAGTCTTGCATAAAGATACAAACAAGCACCAGGTCTGGGGATAGGAAGTGGAGGCTGGGCAGCTGGAGGTCTCTGCTTGACGCGTAGGGCTCTCCTTGGTCAGCCTGGCTCCACACTGGATGGGTTTCCTCCCTCTGGCCAGGTAAAGGGATGTCCCCTCTCAGATCTGACAGTTCCTCAAGCCCTCTGATAGACTCAAGGTCCCTGGACATTGTCCACACCTGCCTGCCCCCAAGGCTGTGCCGGGGTGGGTTCTGTGCCTGGTTCCCCACTATCCTCCTGGATCACCCCAGTGCCTGACACCTGGTGGATAATCAATAACGATGGGTTGAAGGGATGAGTGGTGTCTCGTTGAGCCAGGCCTCCCACTGGGGTGACAGTACACACATCTGTGTGACGTCCATGTCTAGGTGTGAGCATGCCCTGGCCAGTCAATGGTGCAGGCTGAGAGCCAGTGTGTGGGAGAGGCCTGGGCACAGCAGAGGGCCATGTGGCCCTGCCTTGGGATCTCACCAGAAGCAGTGATGGGTGCAGGCACCACTTCTGAGGACACAGGTGGGGAAGGGTTACAGTGAGCTCGTGACTGATGGTGGTGGCCAGGCCTGTGTACACCAGGGTTGAGGGTGGCCCAGGTGATTGATGGGATCCAGGTGGGTCTGAGCTGGACCAATTACTTGCCCTCGGGCTGATGTCATGCCTTGCTGCTCCATCTGTTCCAGTAGATCTCAAACTTTAGCATGCATCAGGATCACTGGGAGAGCGTGTGAGATGAGATCACCTGTCTCCCGCCAGGGTGGGGGGCTTGGGGCCCCACGGCGTGCGTTTCTGAAAGTTCTCAGGTGACGTTGCTGCGGCAGCCGGTCTGGGAGTCACACTTTGGCAGTCTAATGCTGTTAATGAACAGGGTCTGTCTTAGGCCAGGCCCTGCCCAGGTTTCTATCTCCATGTGCCTCCTTCCCCCTCTGATTTGCCAGGGGGCTGTGGCCAGCTTCTTGTAGCCCACTCTCTTTGTCTTCTGGGCTCGGGCTCAGCCCCACTGCCCCCCCCCACTTCCCTCTGTCCCTGGCTTCCCTCCTTGTGCATTACCTTGGCGTTTCTGTGCCTTCCTCGGTGGAGGCTGGGGGCACTTTCGCTGGCCTGCCCTGCTGATCTGCTCTGTCCTCCCCACAGGCTTTTTGTCCTGGGCATCGGCTTCTTCACTGTCTGCTTCCTGATGACGTCTCTGGGAGGCCAGTTCTCAGCGCGACGCCTGGGGGACTCGCCCTTCACCATCCGCACCGAAGGTATCTTGGGGTCAGGGGAGTCAAGGATACGTGCAGGTGTTTGTGAGTAGAAGGGCAGGTCCCTTTGGCCCAGCACCACAGGGGGCTTTCTGGAGCCCTGACTCAGGCTTGCTGGCTGCTTGCAGGGGTGTAGGGGAGAGGGCCTGCTTGGGCCGTGCGATCTGGCACAAGACTTTGACTTTGGTCCTGCCTGTGCCCATGGATTCGAAGGGCAGGGTCTCCTGTGTGGCTTCTTTGGTTGGAGCGTTGGGGGTCTGGCTATGACACTTGCCTCTGAGACACGTGTCCTCTGTGCCTTGGGCCCAGGCTGTGGACACAGGCGGGGGATAGGCCCGATCATGAGCTCACGTGTCTCCTCTGAACTCTGGGGACATAGACCTTTCCCAGTCCCTCACTGCTCCTTGCCCACATGATGCTTGCAAGGCACGAGTAGAGGTTCAGAGCACGGACTTTAGGGACCAGCCAGGCCCAGGTTTGCATCTCTATTCATTGCCTCCTAGCTGTGTGCCACCCGCAAGTCACTTAAGTTGCCGACACAGAAGAAAAGTCACAATGAACTTTTTGGAAGGTTGGGCCGAATGGGGTCACACATGGAAATCACCTGGTGTGGTTGGTTGTCACATGGCCTGAGTGTGACAGATTGGGAGTCCTCATCCTGAAGTCCTCATCCTAAAGCTGGGTCCTTCCCCTTCCCCCTACTCACTGGGAGGTGGTGGTGGACAGCAGCAGAGTCCTACCCCGTCTGACACAGGGGTTCTTTAGATCAGGGCAGAGAGGAGGGACATGGGCGGGGGCAGCCCGAGGTCAGCGGGTTGCAGGGACCAGCTGGCTGTGTGAGATTCCCCTGCCCCTCTGGGGAGGGCTCTCTGTGGAGTCCCCTTCTCAGACCCACGGTGCTCAGCTGGCTGGCTTCCTTGTCCCAGTGATGGGTGTCGTTTGGCGCGCTGGCTGTCATGTGGAGTGGGCGCTCTGAGTGGCACTTGTGGTGCCATCTGTGACTTGTCACTGGATTCATCCCTTCGGTTTAACTCGTGCTTCTTTAAACTTGCAAAAGCTCCCAGAAGGAATGTCACACCCATTAGTCATTCAGGCTCCAGTGTGAGCTCATTGATCCCGCTCTGACTCTGGGAAGCCTCCATGTTCTCCCGCGGTAAGTACCTCGTGAGGGTCCCGAGCAGCACCTGGCGGGCGGGGTGGCTCCACACATGGGGGGATGTGTTAAGTCTGAGACGCGGGAGCTGCAGAAAAGGACGTTTTGGGGAGGGGGATGGGGTGCTGGGTCTGCACACGGAGACGCCTGGTTGGGGTTGGAGAGTGGGTGGGCCACAGGGAAGGTGTCTGGAAGGTGGGCTTGGGGCGGGGTGTGGGTGTGGGGAGAGCAGCACAGGCTCCCTGGATGCTGCCCCTGGGCGGGTGCTCCTGTCTGGGTGGCCTGCTACACAGGGCATCAGGAACCTGAGCTTCCAGAAAGGTCTGGAGTCTGACAGGAGGAGACAAGGGGCTGGGGGGAGGGGTTTGGGGCTGGTTCTTCTGCCCTCTCCCTCAGGGGCTTGGGAGCCAAAGCGATTCCACCCCCATGGTCCTTGCCCCATGGCAGGGTGGACCCAGGGGCCCAGAGCACAGGGGCTGGTGGGGAGCAGGGGGGGGGTCTGGCTCAAGCCCCAGGTTTTATTCTGTAGAGGGGAGAAAGCCTCGTGCCACCTCTGTCACCACTTTGCCAAGGCTGGCCATGACCTTGACTTCTAGAGGTACAGAGGGGGTTCACCTGGGTGGCATGTCACGGGCAGGGCAGTGCCGTGGGCCGCCTCTCTGTCAGCACTGCCCGGGACCCTCGCCCTCTCTGTGTGGTCACCCTCCCTGGTTCTCAGAACTCTTCAGCCTCCATGTGTGATGGCCCCAGTGACCAAAAGACCTGGCCAGAAAAACGCTGGAGGAAAAGTTTATTGGGGGCTTGTGGTTTTCAGGGTCTCAGTCCATAGACAGCAGGCTCCGTTCCCCGGGGCTGGAGGTGAGGCCGGACATCGTGGCAGAGGAGTGTGGTGAGGGAGGCGTCTCCCATGATGACCAGGCAGCAGAGAGAGACTCCACTCCCCAGACAGGAGTCTACACCCCAAACCACACCCCTCATGTCCACCTCCCCAGCCGCACCTCGCCCGCCTTCCTGACCCCTCAGGAAGTCCTGTCAGGGGATTAGTCTACTGACTGGGTCACCAATCACCACCCAGTCGTGTCACCTCTGCCTTCTTGCATTGTCTCACGTGAGCTCTGGGGGACCCCTCACGTCCACACCATAACATCCTTCTGACCATGGCCGGGCCTGGGCGCTGGTCCCTGTTGGGCCTTGGGAATGGTGCTGCTCAGAGCCTGTCCACAGTTCCCGCTTTCCTCGGGCCAGGGCTCGAGTGCCTGGAATTCGGAACTGGGAGGGGGAGGAATGGAGGGGGCCTCCCAGAGCCAAGGAGAAAGGACCCTGATTCAGTTTGTGTCCCCATTCCCACTGCCTGCCCCCCAGTTTCTCTGATGTCCTTGCATCCAGCCAATCTGATTGGAGGGACACACGGACACAGGCCTGGAAAGCCGTGTCCCCTGTGAGTTGAAAATATGAGTCCTGAAGAGAAGCCCCAGTGACACCCCGCCCTGTGCCCAGCAGCCCCGTGGAAACCCCAGCAGATGCCAGCCTGCCCACACCGAGCCGTTGTGGGGGAGCAAGGGAGGGGGACTGGGAAGGAGCCCAGCGCTGGGCCAAGGTCGGGGTGTTGGGCAATGCCCATCCTGTGGGGTTCAAGGAGCCCCAGAATCAGAAGGAAGCCCACCAGGGCCCTGCTGTTTAGGGAAATAAATGAGTTCGTCACCGATCAGCACAACAGTCTGAGCACAGTGGGGAGAACAGCCTGGCCAGCGAGGGAGGCGGGGTCCCCGCAGCGGCAGCACAGGGCAGGGGCAGGAGGAGGGCTTTCTCCATGGCAGGGGAGAGCCCAACACTTGGCTGTGGCCAGCAAGGTGGTCCCTGCAGAGGCTGCGCCTTCCCCTCTAGGCCAGTTCACTTCATGGTGAGGTGGCTCATTTGGGAATAAAAACCTGACGGATATCTCACTCTGCATGCTGCACACTCAAAATCTTAAGAGATTCAGGCAAGAAGGGCTGAAGGGGATCGTCACTGGAGAGGTCTAACTTCATTCCCTCTTGCTGCGGGGTGGGGGGGTCTGGCTTGGGCCTTAGTATGGCGGGGGGCTGATTTCGGCAACTCTGCCTCCCTGCGCCCCCTCCCTCCTCCCTGTGCTCCCCTCCCTCCTCCCTGCGCCCCTCTCCCTCCTCCCGGGGCCCCTCTCCCTCCTCCCTGCGCCCCTCTCCCTCCTCCCGGGGCCCCTCTCCCTCCTCCCTGCGCCCCTCTCCCTCCTCCCTGCGCCCCTCTCCCTCCTCCCTGCGTCCTTCTAGGGAAGCCTTAGTTGCATCTGAGGGGAGCTGTGGGCTCCCTCCTGCCCTGTTTGGTCTTGAAGAAGTAGCGCTCAGCTGTGGTCTGCCCGAGGCAGTCCGTGGCTTGCCCTGCCACACCACCCAGGCCCCGGGCAGGAGCTGAACCTCGCAGGCTTCCAGCTCTGGGCAGCTCTGGGGCCCTTCTCTCAGAAGCTGCATGGGTGGGAACCAGGGCCCAGTGGGCTGAGGAAGAGCCTCATCCGGCCTCCCAGGGCCTGGCCTTGTCTCCGCTGTTGCCCGGCCAGGAGCTCCGTGCCCCCAGCTGGTTCTGGCGTGGCCCTGTGCGCCAGCCAATGTGCTCCTTTCTCCAGCTGCGCAAACAGTCACAGCCCCCCCCCCCCCCCCCCGGGGCAGGAAGGCCAGGCTCTCTGGCGAGCTGGGGGCTTGTTCAGGTCCAGGGAACCCTCAGTGAAGGGTAGGGGTGGGGACAAGACGGGAGGAGGGGGAGATTGAGCGTCGGGGGAGGAGGCCAGGCCTCGGCGGGTAATAAAAATACCGCTGTCTGTAAATGTGAGGATCCAGTTGTCTCTCCCAGCGTCCAGCTTTCCTTATTTATATGGAAATACGGAGGAGGGGCCGGTGAGCGCTGAGATGGATCTCTGGGGCCTCGCAGTAAATACATTTCAATTCAGCCCAAGCCAGGAGTGGGGAAGTGACCCTGGGGGACGTCAGCCTGCTCTGCTGACAGTCGGGGTCCAGAGGTGGCATGCCAGGGAGGTGTCACTCAGGCAGGGCCCGCCTGCTTCCCTCCTGGGTACCCATCTCCTGGGTGTGACTTTGAGCGGGTCCTGGGCAGAAAGCAGGCTTGCGAACGTGTTTCAGAGCGCCTCAGGAGGCTTGGGGGCTGTCCCCGGGTCTCAGGGACTTCGCGAGCCCCTCAGCATGTGAGAACATGGGAGGCTGCCCCCGAGCCCTCTGCTGGGGAGGGATTTGCTGTCTTGGTCCAGAAAGAAGAGGGCCCTTAAAGAACTGTCCAAGACGGCTGATCTCCTTAATCAGGGCCCTGGTGAAGCCTGGCAGGGGTTATCTGCAAGCCTTTGGGGCTCACGCCTTCGTTGGCATTTTTAAAGAACTGGCTGCATCCTCATAGAAGGGCAGTCCACAACCCCAGATATCGCCAAGGATTCTTGGGGGGAGGGGTGGCCTACATTTCCCTGGTCATCTAGCTCTCTCAGTTCTTGCTTCTGCTAAATTATCCATCTCAACATCTTTCCTCCTGCCTCTTCTGTCTCCCCTGCACCAACCCAGTAGGAGGAACACCCCACTTCCCTTGAGACCCTTGCCCGAGGGTCTGAGTCTAGCCACCTGCATGGGGGGTTCAGGAGTCACCAGTGGGGGCTTCAGACCTCTGTGCAGCACAGCAAGTAGATTCCAACTCCCTCTGCATCTCCGCCAAGAAGAGCCCCCACCCCTGCTGTGGCCCCCATAGGGGATCCCCATCCTTCTTGGCTCTGCCGGCCCCTGTGCCGCCTCTTTCTCCCCATCCCCAGCCGTGCCAGGAAGCCTCAGTCTGCTTGAATATGCAGAGTCATTTAGCTCTCTGTCTGCTCTGGGCACATGACTTGCTTTGGCCCACCCCAGGGTTTAGCAAAACAAAACAGAACTCTCCTTGGGAGGACTCTGCTGCCAGCTTCCACGGGACAATTCTTTCCTTTCCCGTTACCCTGGTGTCTAGAGTCAGTTAGGGGAAGTTGGGGTGCTAGAACCTCAGAGCTCAGTGGCTCCATCCCCCTCATTTTACATGAGGGGAAACTGAGGCCAGGAGGAGGACAGTGACCTGTCCCCACCTAGTCGGTGCGGAGCAGGTCTGGGGGCAGGCTTTCTGACTCCCACTCAGGCCTGTCCCAGGCCACCACGCTGCCACCCCCACCTCTGCTCTGCTGCCAGTTCTTGGGTCCCCACAGCTCTAAGACGGATCATGCAGTTACTGGCCCCTCAGCCCTGAGAAATGGGGCTGGGAGCTTGGTGGGGCGTGGGGTGGTGAGGTCCCAGCAGGGGTGCAGGCAGTGAGGAGAATGGAGGGGGCTTGGGCCTGGCAGGGAGAGGGGCCAGCATAGAGGCAGGCCTGGGCCAGGCCGGAGGCACCGCTGGGAACACAGCAGCACCCTAGAAACCAGGACTGGGCTCCACACCTCTGGGGTACCCCGAGCGCTCTGGCCTGGGCAGGTGGGGCAGGCCCTGTGTGGCATGGGGCAGCTGTGATCTTGCTTGCCTCTCTTCATCCTGCTCATATGGGGGGAGCAACCTCAGCCCAGGCTGTGAACCGTGGCCCCTCAGGGGACAGGGGAGGCCAGGCAGGCCCCCCCGCACAGCTCCTCGATGCCCCTCAGCTGGCCTCAGTGCAGCTGGCCCTGAGCTCTGCTGGCAGTGTCCAGGTCTTCGTGTGTGTTGAGCTCAAATGATGGTCACCTGCCCGTTCCTTCCCTCTGTGCTGAAGGTACTGGGTGCTGATGTTGGCGGAGGCCCGGGCAGGGGGTCCCCGAGAGCGAACCTCTGTGAGGCTGAGCAGGGGAAGCTGTGACTGTCTCGTGTGCTCGATTAACTGATGGATCCGCTGAGTGAGTGGATGGCTCGGGAGGGGCAGAGTGGTGGGGAGACCCCAAGTTTGCTTTATTCAAGGCTGTTGTGAAAATTTCCAATCGATTCTTTAAAAACCTGCTCAGTTTTCCGAGAGGGGAGGGTGAGAGGCCTTGGGCTGCTTCCTCTCTGGGGCTGGGCGGGGCCGTGTTTTCCCTTCCTTCCTCCATGTGCCCATTTCCTGCAACGTCCGGCTCCACCCTGGGTCCTGGGGGACTTTATTTCTCCTCCTCTTCCTCTGGCCCCTCGCTCCCTCCCTCGGAGCCAGGGGCCCTGTCTCTTTAAGGAGCGGCTGCTGCTCCTCCTGCTCTGGGGCTGGGGCCCGGCTGGCGTTTCCCGGCCAGCTCCTGAGCCATCTGCCCCGGCTCTGCGGCCTCCCTTCAGACCCAGGTGGCTCAGCTGCCAGGGGAGGTGTCTTCTGTCCCTGCGGGAGGCTGGCAGTGGCTGGATGTGGCAGCCAGGGGAAGGGGGCAGTGTGCTGAGCACTGTCCTCGGCCCCGAGGGGTGGGCTGCAGGCAGGGCCTGGTGTTCTTGCTTTGAGTCGGGGACATGGAGGCCAAGGGTGGTACGGTGACTTCGCCTTGCAGCTTTGGTGGCAGAGGCAGGCCAGAGCCAGCTGAGAGCCTCTGGGGTGTCCGGCTCTGTGTTTCCTGAGAAGGGGACACTGCCGCGCTGCCTCCCTCCCTGGCCCTGGTGACAGTGTGCGTGGGCAGCGCTGCCAGCACCTGTGTTACTGCCTGGGCACTTCCCTTGGCCACTCGGCGGCAGGCGGAGAGGGCAGAACGTGACTGTCCCTGGAGCAGCTCTCACCCAGTGACTGGGGTAGAATGCCCCTCGTCCCCCAGCGGGTGACGGGCGTGGCTCTGCACCCAGGAAGGAAGGCCAGGACCCCTCCCCTGCCGCGGCCTCCATGTGCCTGCAGGGCTGGGCTGTGGTCTCAGGGGCCACCGGCTGGGCACTCACTGTCTCTCCTCATTGCTCCCCACCCCTCGCCCCGTCTCAGGACCTGCTTTAGGGAACCCAAGTCAGGACGTGCCCCCCCCCCTGGCCGGGCAGCCTGGTGGGGAGGGCTCCTGTCCCCTGGGACCTGGCTCAGAACCCAGGGGTGGGGCGGGAGCCGGCACCGTGTAGGCTGTGGGCAGGGGCTGCCACTTCATTCTCTGCAAGGTCCCTCCTGAGGGCGGGCGGGGCGGGCAGCTGCCCTTGCCGATCCGTCTCTGGGAATCCAAAGACAGCGTGACATCCAGGACAAGTTCATGTGATTTTCTGCAGAGGGTCCTGGGGAGGCGGATGGGGACGGCATGGGTCAGGGCTCAGAGGCTGGGCAGAAGTGGGGGCAGGTGAACAGCAGTCCCGGGACCCCAGAACACAGGCTCCCTCTCCATCAGAATCCCCTGGGGGACGCACGGGGACGGAGGTGCAGACTCCAGGGCCCTAGAACGTCAAGTCAGCAAGCCTAGGCTTGGGCCCGGGGACCTGGATTCCAACAGCCTGGCTGGTCAGGTGCCAGTGGACCCTGGACCAGGTGTTAGGAGACATAGGCTCCTGTCCCACCTGAAACCTTCCCTGGCCTCTCACAGCCCTGGGGATTGCAGGGCACCTTGGAGATTACAGCCAAAGCTCCATTTTATACTTGACAAAACTGAGGCCCAGAGAGGGCGTAGACAGTTCCCAGGGTCACACAGCTGGTGGGAGCAGGTTCCTGGGGTTTCCTCCCCAGGCAATGCAGTGAGGGGCCTTACGGGAGGCCGAGGAGGGGGGCAGATGGGGCGGGCTTGCTCTCTGACCCTCCCCTGCGGTGGCCAAGGAAGGTGGGAGGGGGCCCGGGTCTGAGCTGCCCCATCTCAGACACCAGGTGACACCGGTGGCCTCCGTGCTGCCCGGCTTCCCTGACAGTGCCCTCCTCTGCCCACAGTGCTGGGTGGCCCTGAGTCCCGTGGCGTCCTCCGCAAGATGAGCGACCTGCTGGAGCTGATGGTGAAGCGCATGGACACGCTGGCCAGGCTGGAGAACAGCAGCGGGCTGCACCCGGAGGCCGGCGACCCCCACGCGGCTGCCCACAGGTGAGGGCCGCGGGGGCACTGTGCCGGCTGTGCTGGGTGGAGGCCCAGCCTCAGGCCACTCTCAGAGCTGGCCGGGCCTGCTGGTCACCCGCTTTTTGTTAATCTGGGGAAAACAAAGAATGAAAAAAGAAAAACCAAACCCCTCCACGACCTGAGGAGGTCACGGCTCCCGGACCCGAGGGGAGCACCATCGGAGTCGTGTCTGCCGCCCCTTAAATAAGTGAGACAGGAGGGACCTAACTCCTCCTGGAGACAGGCGCTGAGCTCTTCCTGTCCACTCGGCCGGCCACACCCAGCCACACACCCGGCCACACACACACCCGGCCACACGCACACGCAGCCACACACACACACCCAGCCACACACACACACCCGGCCACACACACACCCGGCGTGTGAACGCACAGAACTCTTTGGGCCAGTTGTACCCACACGGCGTGTCACAGGGAGTATGGGGCTGGGCCTGAGGGCCTCAGGCCTGCCGGGTCCCCTCAGGCTCGCAGGGTCTCCTCAGGCTCCCCGGGTCCCCGCGGGATCCTCCCGTTTCTCCTGTTGTCCGAGGGGCGGTTTCGACTCTGTCCGAGCAGGTCCTGTGTGAGGGCCGGTGGCTTCGGGCCGTTGCTGAGTAGGACTCCGGGCCTCACTCACCCACATCTTCCCTTGGCCAGGAGTCAGAGCCCAGGGAGACGTGTGCTGCTCCGCCACCTGGGAGCCCCGGGGCGTGGAGTGCACGGGGCGCATCTGGGTGGACGCCAGGCCATCACGGCCAGGGCCCAGCGTCCTCAGGTGTGGCTTCGGGCAGAGAGAAGGGCTGTGTGGCCCTGGCCGGCCTGCGGGGAGGGTGTGCTGGAGGGACCGGCTGGCAGGCTGGACACAGGGTGCTGCAGTCCGGCTGCAGCAAAATAACCAGGGGGTGACGAACAACTTGTGTACATTGATACAGCAGGAGTGGGAGCCGTTTATTGCAGGACAGGAGCAGTATTTATACATTCCACACAGCTTATCTAATTAGCATAAACTAGATACATCAGTCAACCAATCAGGAATCTCTACACTTAATGGCTCGGTTTTGTTACTTCTCAAACCACTCCCTCTGGCATTTTGCCAGGCACCATCCAAACTTGTTTACGAACTCTAACATTCCCCTGGCAAAATGCCAGGTGTTATTTTGACTTGTTTACAGACTCCAACAACAGGGCACCTCGGTGGGACTGTGGCCACTTGGTCTGCCTGTGCTAGGCTGCTGGCCCAGGGCCGACCCTAGGCTAGCCTGGCCGACTGAGCAGTACCCTGGACACCCTGCCCGACACCAGGCCTTGTCACAGGTGACAGTTACTGCGAGAGCACCTACCTCCCTCGTGCCTGTCACCCCTACCACCGCGTCAATCGCGCACCCACCTGATGGAAGGCACAGAGAGGGCCAGGAACCCAGCCTCAGTGCACAGCCTCGAGGGGCCGCCTGGCTCTGCACCACCCTCTGCCCAGGGTGCCTGGTGGCCTCTCGCGTGCTGTGTGGTCAGCGTGGTTGGATTTCTCCCTTCTAGGCTTTTCCACGCTGGCTAGTTCACAGACAGAAGCCAGCCCCCGTTGGGGTTTTGGGGTTCAGGGATGCAGCACTGACCCTGCCTTCCTGGGAGCGGGGGAGAGTGTAGGGCCCGCGCAGTGTCCACTCTGACTTCACCCGCAGCAGGCTGGGCCTCTTGGGCCGCACAGCTGGGTGCCGGGTCCCGGGGAGGCTGTTTCAGCTCCCAGAACTGCTGTCTACAGAGCAGAGGAGCGAGGAGTGGGGCGACAGCCGGGCGAGGCCCCTCACGCGTGACGGGCCCTGCAGAGCCCTGTCCCCACTCCTCGGGGGCAGGTGGGCACTCACCAAGGAGAGAAATAAATGAGATCGTTTCAGCTGCTGATCTGTGCTCGAAAGCGCGGGAGGACGGTTGGGTGGGAAAGCGGCTGCTCAAACAGGTTAGTTGGTGACAGTCGAGCTGATCTCTAGTGGGAGGGAGGAGAGCGCATGAAGTGCAAAGGCCCTGGGGTGGGAGCACGCTTGGCCTGTTGGGGGAAGAAGCACGGGGAAGGCCAAGGTGGCAGAGCTTGGTGGGGACGCAGAGCAGGGTGTGCTGTAAGGCACGGCCCCAAGAGCTGTGGGGAGCTGCTGGATTTATTTTAAAATGGTATCACATTACTGCTGCGTGAAACATGGATTGGCCAGGTGCCAGAGGGGAGCAGAGGGGCCAGTGGGAGCGATGGGAGATGGGCAGAGTGTCAGGGTCGTCCTGGCTGCCCACCCTGCCCGGCGGCTCCGCCCTTCTCCCTGCCCAGCCCTGGGCCCCTCATCTCTCCACTCTCCCGCCCCCTGTGCCACGGCCCCTGGCCACAGGTGTCTGCCCCGGTTGGCCCCTGCTGGGCATCCTGTGGGCATCCGAGCTGAGGGTCCTGCTCTGGGGCTGGAGGGCCCACATCTGGCACATCCGCTGTCTCTCTGGTTCCTTCCAGGCCCGGCCTGTCCCCCGTCCCCTGCGCTGCCCTTCGTCTCCTCCAGGGAGGGAGGGTGCCTCCAGGCTGGGGGAGCGCGTGCCACCTCCTACTCAGTCCTGGGGAAGAGCCGCCATCCATCATGCCCAGGGGGGCCCATCAACCCGCAGGCAGAGCCGTGAATCCAGGGACACTGCGGCTTCAGGACTGGGGATGCGTGTGTCAGGGCCTGCGGGAGGCCGCTCCGCTGTCCCTCTGTCCCTCTCCCGGTGCACAGACACGCCCTCCCCCAGCCCTCCCCAGGTCAACCCCAGGTGGGATTCTGTGGAAGCACCCCCCTGATTCCGCCAGCTCTCACCCGCACCCAGACCCTCTGCCTGGGAATTACCGTGGCTCATGAAGAACTTCGCTGTCCTCCTCTGCCCTCCGGGAGCCTCTGGGCTGCCCCTGCCCCGTGGCTGGCCTGTCCTGGGGAGGGAAGACGTGATCAGGTTACGGTTTGCTGCAACAGCATCATATTGTGTTTCTAAAGCCCCAAGTAATGGTCTCTGAATTTTTCCAAAGGGCTTCCGCGCAGCGCAAAGCCCGCTGAGCTCGGAGGCTGGCTGCGCCCAAGGTCATCTGTAATTGTTGAATGTCCACCATGTGCAGCGTCCAGGCAGGGACTCGGGAGGGTGAGGGGACCCAGGGAGCTCAGACCCCCAGCCTTGCACTCATCCCTGACCCCCTCCTGAACACCTGCATCCAGTCCGTCAGACTAGCCCAGAGTGCCCCCTCCCTCCCCTCCCAGCTGCTCCCACCTCAGCAGCCAGCGAGATCGTTTTAGAAGGTCACGTCCACCAGAAGGACCCCAGCTCTTACCTGAGTGACAGGAGAAGCTGCAGGGGCAGTGGCCAGAGGAGGGAGTGGCTCACGCCTGGCCTCATGTCTCTCTGGCTCTGCCTGGGGCATGATGGTCTCCTGCTGGCCACAGGACCTTTGTGCTGGCCCCTCGGTGTGGAATGCTCTTTCCCGGGTCTCCTTCTTCCCGTTCTTAAGCGTCCCGTAAGGCCTTCCGGACCAGGTCCTATTTAAAATGTGCCCTTCCTCTCCCCGTCACCGTCTCGCTCGCTGTCTTCGTGTTCACTTGTGTGTTGTCTGTCCCCCCTGGAACGTGCGCTGTGTGAGGACAGGCCTGTCCCTTCTGTTTTCCCAGCTGCAGGAGGGAGGGCCGGCCAAGGGGAGATGGAAGGGAGGGGTGCTCCTGGCCAGCTGGGCCTCGGTTTCCCGTCCTGTGCCCAGGGAGGGAGGGCGGGCTGCAATGCGTTGTTGCCAAGCCCAGTTGAGCAGCTCCGCCCCGGGCACGATTACACCTGTAATTCCAGCAGTTTAGGAGGCTGAGGCAGGAGGACTGCAAGTTCAAAGCCAGCCTCAGTAACTAAGCAAGGCCCTAAGCAACTTAGTGAAACCCTGTCTCAAAATAAAAAATTAAGGCAGCCAATTTGGAAAGCAGTATGGAGATTCCTGGGAAAGCTGGGAATGGAACCACCATTTGACCCAGCTATTGCCCTTCTCGGACTATTCCCTGAAGACCTTAAAAGAGCGTACTATAGGGATACTGCTACATCGATGTTCATAGCAGCACAATTCACAATAGCTAGACTGTGGAACCAACCTAGATGCCCTTCAATAGATGAATGGATAAAAAAAATGTGGCATTTATACACAATGGAGTATTACTCAGCACTAAAAAATGACAAAATCATGGAATTTGCAGGGAAATGGATGGCATTAGAGCAGATTATGCTAAGTGAAGCTAGCCAATCCCTAAAAAACAAATGCCAAATGTCTTCTTTGATATAAGGAGAGCAACTAAAAACAGAGCAGGGAGGAAGAGCATGAGAAAAAGATTAACATTAAACAGGGACGAGAGGTGGGAGGGAAAGGGAGAGAGAAGGGAAATTGCATGGAAATGGAAGGAGACCCTCATTGTTATACAAAATTACATATAAGAGGATGTGAGGAGAAAGGGAAAAAAAAATCAAGGGAGAGAAATGAATTACAGTAGATGGGGTAGAGAGAGAAGATGGAAGGGGAGGGGAGGGGGGATAGTAGAGGATAGGAAAGATAGCAGAATACAACAGTCACTAGTATGGCAATATGTAAAAACGTGGATGTGTAACCGATGTGATTCTGCAATCTGTATACGGGGTAAAAATGGGAGTTCATAACCCACTTGAATCAAATGTGTGAAATATGATATGTCAAGAGCCTTGTAATGTTTTGAACAACCAATAAAAAAAAAGAAATAAAAAAAAAAAATTAAGGCCTACAGATGTGTCTAAATCGTTAAGTGCCCCAGGTTCCACCTCTAATAAAAAAAAAAAAAATTGACAAAATCCAACACACAATGTTCAAAAATCAAGAACAGAAGGAAACCTGCTCATTATAATACAGAGCATTTACAAAAACCCATAGCAAGGGCTGGGGCTGTAGTGTAGTGGTTGAGCACTTGCCTAGCATGTGTGAGGCACTGGGTTCAATTCTCAGCACCACATACATACATACATACATACATAAAAGTATAAAAAATACAATAACATTTAAAAAAAACACAAAGTTTGTTCTCTCTGCTTGAGTCTTACTTTACTTTCTCCTATGATAAAGTTCTCTTGCATAGCAATAAATAAATAAAATTAAAAACACGCATAGCTAACATCATATTCAATGGTAAAAGAATAAAACAGGGCTGGAGATGTGGCTCAAGCAGTAGCACACTCACCTGGCATGTGCGGGGTGCTGGGTTCGATTCTCAGCACCACATAAAAATAAAAAAAATAAAGATGTGTCCACTGAAAACTAAGAAAATAAATAAATAAATAACAAAATGTTTCTTTAAAAAAAAGAATAAAAACATTTTCCCTATACAAAAAGTAGAGACAATGCAAATGTTCATCAACAAATGAGTGAACAAACAAATTTTGGTACATCAATACAACAGAATATCATTCAACCATAAAAAGGATGCTACAGGATGAATGAACCTGTAAAATATTATGCTAAATCAAAGAAGTCACACAGAAAAAGTTAACATGTTATATACAATTGCAATTATAGGAAACATCCAGAACAGGTAATCCATACAAACATAAAGCAGATTAGTGGTTGCTCGAGAATAGGAGGAGAGGGTAATGGGGTATAAGTGTTTAATGGGCTGAGGGGTTTTCTTTTGAGGTGATAAAACTGTTTTAGAACTAGATTGAGGTACTAAGTAGCTGCACAACCCTGTGAATATACTAAACATTACTGAGCCGGGCATGGTAGTGCCCGTATTTAACCCCAATGGTTAAAGATACAGGAGGAACTAAAGTTCAAAGCCAACCTCAGCAACAGAAGGCACTCAGCAACTCAGTGAGACCCTATCTCTAAATAAAATACAAAATATGGCTGGGGATGTGGCTTAGTTTAGTAGTCAAGTGCCCCTGAGTTCAATCTCCAGTACCCCAAAAAAGGTTACTAAATTGTACATTTTAAAATAATCAATCTTAAAATCACGAATGTATACACTTTAAAATCATCAACTTTGGCCTGGGGTTGGGGCTCAGTGCTAGAGCACTCACTTATCATGTATGAGGCACTGGGTTTGATCCTTAGCATCACATAAAAATAAAATATAGTGTCCACCTAAAACTAAAAAATACATATTTTTAAAAAAAGGTCAGGGGTTGTGGCTCAGTGTTTGAGCGCTTGTCTAGTATGTGTGAGGCACTAGGTTCGATCCCCAGCACCACATAAACAAACAAAATAAAGGTATATATATATATATATAAATATATATTATATATAGTATATATTTATATATACATATATAAATGTCCATCTACAACTAAAAAAATTTTTTTTAATTAACTTTAAAATCATGAATTTGAAAAAAAAAAATAAAATAAAATCATGAATTTGACCTGAATATTATTTTTAAAAATCTAAGTAGAACACACAGAAAGCAACAGACTTCAGTTATAAATGCCCCAGATGTTTTTGTTTTCTCACTATATATACTCTCTAAAAATGACACTTTACCTTTTCAATGTGCCTCTTGTTTTCTCACAAATTTTTGTGTTTTCTTAAATTTCTACTATCATCATCAAAACATAAGTGTTGTTTTACTCTCTAGAAATTATGTTTTACCTTTTCACCCTGTGCCTCTTGTTGTTTTTTCCTCACAAGTTTTTGTCTTTTCTCATTCTTCTCTTCTTCTTCTAAAACATCAAAATCATAAACGTGCTTTTTAATTCCCAAGTATCAATAAGTCACATGGCACAGTCTGTAGATTTTAACATTTTTGAAGAGACAAGTAGCCTTTGAAAAACAGATTATATTTTTTCAAGTAATGAAAATGAAGTACATGCAAACAGTTGGAAATACAGAAATCTGCACATAAAATCTTAAAGGCTCTGTTCTGAAACAATTCTCCACTAAGTATTGTTGTATGTAATAGTTTCTGCTAAAGAGGCTTCCAGAATATTTTCATGAGTTTTCTTCTGAAGGTCCCAATAGGATTTCAGCAGCTCTGAGGCACAGCATGGAAGCCCATTACTGCAATGTGAAGTGTGGAATGCAGCACTTCAGGCATGAAGTGTCATCTGTTGCCCTTAAACATGACAGTAAAAGTCCCTAAAGGTATGTGTGCTTGTCAGCTCTTAAAATGACTGAACCACTATTAGGTTACTATCCACTGAATGTGAAGAAAAAGTATTTTTGCTTCTTTTTTTTTTTTTCTTCTGGTACTAGGGATTGAATCCAGGGGCACTCTATCTCTGAGCTACATCCCCAGTGCTTTTAATTTTTATTTTGAGATAAAGTCTTGTTAAAATGCCTGGGTAGCCTTGAACTTGCAATTTTCCTGCCTCACCCTCCTGAGTTGCTGGAATTACAGGCATGTTCCACTACTTCCAACTCCCTTTTAAGTATGTAGCTTGATTATTTTGTATGTCTTTTCTTTTTTTTATTTTTTTGCAGTACTGGGAATTAAACCCAGGGCCTCAACACATGCAAGGCAAGCACTCTACCAATCAGGAATCTAAGATGGGAGCATCTTAAGTTCAAGTCCAGCCTGGGCAAATTAGTGAGACTCTTAAAATCTATAAATAAATAAAATTTTAAAATCCAACTGAGTCATTTTAAGTTTAAGAAACCAAACAACTTCCAAAAGGGGGGAAAATTATGATTGGGAAACCCTGAAACATCTATGTTGTCACTTATGTTTGGGTTGAAAAGGATTACCAAATGGATGTTTGTTTGGTAGCGGGAATTGAACCCAGAAATCCTTAAGCACTGAGCCACATCTCCAGCACTTTTTACATTTTATTTAGAGACAAGCTCTTACCAAGTTGCTCCAGGCTTCACTAAATTGCTGACACTGGTTTTAAACTTTCGATCTTTTGCCTCAGCCTCCCAAGCCCCTGGGATTAAAGGTATGCACCACTCCTGGATTTTTTCATGAATAATGCAAAAGGCTTTGAATTAAGCACTGCTCATTTTCTTATTTATTTACATTTAAATAAACAACTTTTAATAATGTACCAAATTCATTACTGGTGACTTTTTTCCTAATTGCATATAAAATATAGCTAAGTAGTAGAGCACTTACCTAGCATGTGCAAGGCCCTGGGTTCAATCCCCAGTACCACGCCCCAAAAGATAAAATATTAAAAAAAAAAAATTTAAGATTCATCTGTTCTAAGGCCAAGTACAATACTGGAGTGTTTTGGGGGGGCAGGGGGTGTGAGGATGGCCTTAGGCCTGAGTCTAAGCAACTCCATTTTAAAAACTGTGGTTTGAAACCTGTAGTCTGACCAGGCACACCCACAGAGCCCTCCAGTAAGGCCT